GGGGGAATACTGTTACCTGCTTGCTCCTAACCCCAGTCCCGTCCCTCTCTGGACACACTGTTATCTGCCTCACTACCGCCCCTTCCTAGGGAGGGGACCCAGCGCTCTGCAGGGAGCGCTTTGTCACCTGTCATCGCCCACCTCTCTCCAGTCATTCGACCTCACGCCTCTAATAATAAATTCATCTCCTCTCAGTTCTGCAGGGACCTGGGTCTTGGCAAAGCTTTTGTTTTTGAGACCAGGAAACTGAATTTGTGACCTGACTCATTCGTGACCTGACTCACTCGCTAGATGACGCGTGGGAACAGTTGCTGTTCCCGAGGAGCTGGGCAAGGTCACTGTCCCTGCACGTCAACACAGGTGTAAGGAAACACCAGAGAGCTGAGAGGGACCCAGCCCAATGGGAGGCCAGCGCATGCTCTGTTTTACACTGCTGAGTATAATTACATGCTTCCAAGAGTGGGAGACAGGGACCCCCCCCCCCAGGTGGTGTTCTTAAAGGGGAAGACAGCTTCCTAGAAACACTGTGACTCTGAAAAAAAAAATCCTGTAAACTTTTTTTTTTTTTTTAATTATGGGGAAAAAGACATGATGGCCCAAGGCTGAGAACTCAGCATTAGGAGGCGGAGGCCTGGGGATCACGAGGCCAGCCTGGGCTCCATAAAGAGTTTAAGGCCAGCTTGGACTACATAGCAAAACCCCATTTCAAAGACAAACAAACAAGAATAAAAAAACAAAAATGAGAAGCCCATTATATGAAGTAGCTGGAGCAGACTTCATAAACAGGAAGAAAAAGGTGAGTTAGGTATAGTTTTGAGGTTAGGGATAAAGGTTGTTTAGTGAGAACAGTTTCAGTTTCACAAGATGCCGTCCTGGAGGGGGGAGGGTGGGGACGCTTTAGCTGGGTGCAGCGCCACAGCCATGCAATCTGAACCCTTGGGAGGCTGAGGCAGGAGGACTTCTGAGTTCAAAGCCAGCCTGAACTACATAGCAAGACTCTCCTTGTCTCAGAGAAAAAAACAATGTGAACAGTACAATACAAAAACAAAACCAAGGGGCCGGGGAGACGGCGCAGTGGAATGAGTGCTGCCCTGGCAAGCACAAGGGCCTGAGTTCAATCCCGGTTCCACACACACACACACACACACACACACACACACACACCCACACAAACACAAATAAAGGGTGGAGGTGTGCTCAGTGGTTGTGTTTGCTTAGGCCTAGGAGAGAACACCAATGCCCTCGGTGACCTTTGATGGTCATGTAATCAGTGACAAGGCAGGCCCTACACTGCCCAGCTCTGACTTCACCTCTTCTCTTGGGGACCCCATTGCCTCACAGGCAACTTGGGTCACAGGCAGGGTGATCTTGGAGGGGGGGACAGGCAGGGGACTGCAGGGCATTCTCCCTGCCAACCCCGCCTGTCACCATGGTTCCTGAGCTACCTGAGCAGAAGGGGGCTGGAGTGGGTGACTCAGGGGCTTGTGGCATATTCTGCACGGCTGTCCAGGCCACATTCCAGGTCAGGGCTCAGGTTTCAGGAGCAGACCTGATGTCCCCATCTCTGGGCCAAGTCGCCCAGAGTCCTCCAGGGCTGGTTCCCAGCCTCAGCTCTGGGGCCACTGTGGGTCACAGGAGTCCTTGTTGGGGGGATCCATTGGGGGAGTTGCCCGCTAGAGAGTGTCACCCTCGGCCCCTACTACCTCTGTCACTGCCACTGCCACACACCCACCCCCCCCAACTGCCACAACTAAAAATGTACCCTGAGCCCTGCATGGCGGCACTGGGCTGCAATCCCTGTACTCAGGTGGCAGAGGCACGGGGCTGGGCCACGTAGTGAGACCCTGTCTCAAAAACCCAACCCAAACTGAAAATAAACATGACCCCGGCAGGACAAACCCCTTGTAGTTGGGGCACCTCCCTCCTCGGGGGCTGTGTGTGTGCCTGGCTGCCCCTCTGGGACCTCTGGACTCAGAACAGCTCGTCACAGACCTGTGACTCAGCCCTGGAGCCGCAGTCACGAGGCTCTGGCACAGACACAGCAACTGCAAGCAGCCAAGGCTGCCGCGTCCAAAGCAACCCCAGCTTCTCCCTTCCTCAGAAGGTCTCAGGGTGATCACGGAGCTCTGTCTCAGAAATCATGAGGGTCTCTTCCCCACCCTGGAAAGTGACTAATGTTTATTTTTCATTTCCCAGGTGCACACGAATCATTTCATTCTCCTTGGAAAAACTGTGGAGGTTAAAGTTAATGTATTATGTTTGGGGTTTGTTTTCAGACAAGGTCTCACTGTATAGCCCAGGCTGGCTTTGAACCAGTACTGCTCCTCCTGCCTCAGCTTCCCCGAGTAATGGAATTACAGGTGTGCGCCACCACACCCAGCTCACATTTTAAGTATGTTTAATATAATCTTCATAATCGAGAAGAATGTGGTTATTTCCTAATGGCAGAACACTGTATTTATTTATTTATTTATTTATTTATTTATGAGACAGTGTCTTGAGATAAGGCCCCTTGAGTTCACTTTGTAGTCCAGGCTGGTCTTGAACTCCCAATGAACCTCCTGTCTCAGCCTCCTGAGTGTTGGGATTACAAGCACCTGCCACCATATCTTATAGTTTCTTTTTTCTTGAAAGCTTTAAAGGTGGAAATTCAAATGCCCCTCCCCCACTTCTAGAGTCAGGTATTTCTAGAAGCATCTACAAGGACAACCAACTGGAGAATTAAAAGCCTGCCACTAAGACCAGGGAGATGGCTCAGTAGACTAGGCACTTCCCTGGCAAGTTAAGTGCTTCCCTGGTAAGTGTGAGGGCCTGAGTTTAATCCCCAGTTCCACCACCAAAAAAAAAAAGCCTGCCACTGTAAGGTGTTTTTTTTTGTTTTTTTTTTTTTGGTACCAGGGATTGAACTCAGGACCTTGCACTTGCCAGGCAAGTGCTTATTCTACAGAGCTATCTCCCTGGCCCCAACTGTAAGTTTTTTTAAAATATTTATTTATTTTTGTGGAACCAGGGATTGAACTCAGGCCCTTGTGCTTGCCATGCAAGCGCTTATTCTCTGAGCCATCTCCCTGGCCCCAAAAATGGAATAAGGATTTTTTTTTTTTTTTTGCTCCAAATGCCCTCAGGGCTTGTTTGGCTGGCTGGAGAGTTGTGGGGATCAAAGGAACTAGAGCCACCTGAGGCTGACAGCTTGGTGGAAGCAGCCACTTAAAGAACTGAGCTAGGGCCAGCCCCCCCCCCCCACCCAACTGTAAGTTCTAAAAGTCGATTTTGGCCAGGTGTGGTGGCACAGGTCTGTAATCCCGGCACTTGGGAGGCTGAAAGGATTGATGTGAGTTGGAGGCCAGGCTGGGCTACATAGCAAAACCGGCTCAGAGAAACAAACAAGTGGGGCGTGGAGGCTGGCACATGCCTATAATGCCAGGTCCGCCTGGGCTACAAAGTGAACTCAAGGCCGGCCTGAACCACACAGCCAGACGCTGTCTCAAAAAAACAAAACAAAAAAATCCCCAAAATGTATTTTTCCAGAAATATGCAAGACAGAAATTCAACTGTGCTTTGGACTCTCAGCCCTTATAGTTCAAAAAACTGAAAAGACAGGCTTTTAGGGGCCAGGGAGATAGCTCAGTAGAATAAGTGCTTGCCTGGCAAGCGCAAGGGCCTGAGTTCAATCCCTGGTTCCACAAAAAGTTAAAAAAAAGAAAAGAAAAGAAAAAGACAGGCTTTTGAATATTTCACCATATAGAAATGCTGTTTGAGAGACATGATTAACAAGGATTAAACATTACACAATATACACAGGAATTAAATATCAAATGAAAAACAAACCATCACATGGTTCCCTCAGGCATGGGCGATTTGTAAGTTTTTCTGTCTCAGTTAAAAATAAAATTTCGTTTCTGGCCTGGGCATAGCTCTGCGATAGAGACTACGGTATATTTATTTATTGAGACTACGGTTTACATGAGAGAAAAAAAAAAACTTAAAAGCTCAAAGGCTTCAATTTCTGAGCTAAACTAAATATCAAATGGATTAATTTCAAGGACTCTTGGTTGACAACCACGCGTGACCTCTGCAGGAGGACAAGGCTTGGGGACACCAGAAAGGCCTAGAAAGATCCACCCTCAGCCCTCACCTGGCTCCCACGGTTTCTGAAAGCTGACTCCATTTTCTTTTCCAAGGTCACCCTGAACAAATAGCTCCTTCCCCGGGGGGCCATCTTCCCCGCCTATACGGGGGTCCCCATCCCCACTGCTCCTGGGGACAGGCCAGGGTCGCCCAGGCCGCCGCCCGTGCTGCCCAGCCTGAGATTTGCACAGTCATCCTCCTCGTCGACGTGCCCAGGCGCCGGGGGCTGGGCCGGCGGAAGTCGGCCGGGCCGGGGTCTCGGCGAAGCCGAATCACAGCCGCTGTCCTCCTAAACGTGACTTCCAGTTGAAGACCTGGCGGGCTCTGGCAGGGCCGGGAGAAATGGGGATCCCCCCTACCTGCGGGCACTGGGGGGCAGGGCGGGCGCTCACGGGGAGATGGGGCCCCTGACTCCCCGGGAGGCGCTCGCTTGGCCGCGTCCCTAGTCCGTCAGCCCGGCGCTGGAAGGCTCGTGCACAGCGGGGACCCTGCGACCGAAGGCGGGGGGCGCGGGCAAGCGAAGGTCCCAGCCCCACTCCGTTCCAGCCTCCGGAATCCGCGCCGGGCTTTCGCTGCCGCCGCAGCCGCCCCCGCTCCCGCCCCCGCGAGCGCCCGCCGCGGTTTGTCGCAGTGCGCAACGGTCGCTCTGATCCTTCCGCCGGACCGCGCAGGACGGCGCCCGCCCTTCCCCCACAGGCCTGCATCTTCCATCCTGGTCCCCACCGCAGAACATTCCAGAGAGAGTCACGTCACTCCGCTCACTCAGCGTCTTTCCAAAGGGGCGGAACGCGCGGGAAAAGTAGTCCCCTTCTCGACGTTTCCGCGGAGGGATCTCCCCGGGGCCGAGCGCTGACGGGCCTATATAAGGCGGCGCCGGGCGGGGCGCAGCCAGATTCGCCGAGGTCGCTGTGTCGTCTCATCGCTTCTTCTTGTCCCGCTGCTTTCGACGCTTGGTTTGGTGAGCGAGGGGGTTGCCTGCCTAGCCGGGAACTGGTTGCCCACTCGCGAGGGCAAGGTTGGGAGGGAGGCCACGGGCCGCGAGGCTCCGCGCTCAGGGGCGCTCCGGGCCGTTGGCTTTGAGGGGGAGAAACGCCGCAAGATGGCGGCCGTCCGTGAGTCGTGACTGGGAGGAGCCTGGCTGAGGCGAAGCGGGCCGTGAGGTCGGGGGAGCGGGAGTGAGGGGCCGCTGAGCGGAGTCCTGAGGCTGTAACCGAGTCTGGCAGCTTCACTCGGCAGCGAGGTTGGGTGTGGTTGAGGCGCTGACGGGGTTTTTGGCATTCGTTCGTAATACAGAGCCCGTCGCGGTTCCGGCTGTGCAAAACCAGTGCTCTGGAAGCTGAGGAAGGACAGTTATGATTTGGGGGCTACAGCCTCGGCAGTTTAGCCGACCTTCCGTGAAGATAATGGGATAGAGCGTTACAGAGGCACCGCCCGAAAGCCGGGGGGAGGGGCGCTGGCGCGAACGGACGTCGGGTCACGTGACGCCCACGTTCGGTGACGTCATCCGTTCCGTTGGCGCACAGTGGAGGGTGGGGCTACCAGCCTCATAAAGAGCTTGGTGTTTTACAGTTGCAGGGCACGGGGTTTGGATCTGGGGTGGGCTCTGGTGAACTGACCGAATCCTGATCCGGAGCAGAGGAAGCGAAGCTAGGCTTCCGAGGTTACGTGGGTCAGGTTCTGCCCCCTCCTCTCCCCCGCCTTTTTTTCTTTGTTCGAGGCAAAGTCGTCCTTCACAGTTCAGGCTGCCTTAGGCTTGCTTTGTAACAGACTGGTCTTGAGCTCAATTATTGTGCCATCTTAGTCTGTCAAGTGCTGGGATTACAGGCTTCTGCCACCGTGCCCTGCTGCACCCCGAGGTTTTTGGGTTGGGTTTTTTTTTTTAACATTTATTTATTTTGTGTGTGTGTGGCCAGTTCAGCCCGGCTGGCATGTGCTGGGGATCGAACCGCGGTCCCTGTGCTTTGCCAAGCTTGTTCCAAGTAGGTGCTTTACTGAACCATCTCACCAGCCCCTTTTTTTCCTTTTTTTGAGGCGAATTACATTGATCAATGTAAAGTTTTTTTTTTTTTTTTTTTAACATGTATTTGATACATGGTCTCCCTGTGCAGCTCTGGACTCCTAGTGGTCCTCGTGTTTCAGCCTTCCCAGAGCTGGCATGAACCACCACATGCAGTCTTGGTACCTGGCACAGCATGTCATACCAGGAATCAAACCTGCATTCTTAAGTCCCCTTAGGCAGGTGTTTATAGACACCTGAGCTATCTCCACAGTGTGGGTCTACGTAAAGTAAGTTTAGCATTAGACATGTTAACTGTGTACTAAGGTTTTGAGTTTTGTGTTTTATTCTTTTTTTTATAGAAAATGCAGATCTTCGTGAAGACCCTCACTGGCAAGACCATCACCCTCGAGGTGGAGCCCAGCGACACCATTGAGAACGTCAAGGCCAAGATCCAAGACAAGGAAGGCATCCCCCCTGACCAGCAGAGGCTGATCTTTGCTGGCAAGCAGCTGGAAGATGGGCGCACCCTGTCCGACTACAACATCCAGAAGGAGTCCACCCTGCACCTGGTGCTCCGCCTGCGAGGTGGGATGCAGATCTTCGTGAAGACCCTCACTGGCAAGACCATCACCCTGGAGGTGGAGCCCAGCGACACCATTGAGAACGTCAAGGCTAAGATCCAAGACAAGGAAGGCATCCCCCCTGACCAGCAGAGGCTGATCTTTGCTGGCAAGCAGCTGGAAGATGGGCGCACCCTCTCTGATTACAACATCCAGAAGGAGTCCACTCTGCATCTGGTGCTCCGCCTGAGAGGAGGTGTTTGTGCTTCCCCCATCTTTTAAGCTTTCAACAAGTTCCATTGCATTTCAATAAAGTTCTTGCATTC